AGCTTTCATGCAAGATATCTAAGGCGTAGATACGAGAATGTTTACAATTCAAAGAGAAGCTTAATCTAGGGTCACTACCAGAGCCGGTAAATTCTAAACGATTACAGCAGGCGGACTGAGGGCCGAGCCGGCCGCCAGGGGAGGCCCCCGGACGAGCCGCTTTCTTTTTGCGTTTCTTTTTCATTTTCAAGGCTCAACTCTGCTGATTCTGCTGGCGGTTCTTCGTGTAACTGGTAAAGACAAAATTGTAGTCGTTGAATTGGGCCAACTGGCGGTCGACACGCTTGAAACCCTCAAGTTTCTGGGCGGAAGAAAAGACACTGCGACACTTGGAGCTCTGAAAAACACAAAGAGGGAGATATTTAATCTCATCATTGCATCCATGCACTCAGAATGCAAAAAAAAGTCAAAGCTTAAGTATTTGACCATCTGCTCCATGTGAACTCAGACGATCACTTATCTACCGCAAGAGTCATAAAATAGACAAAATACCTGATTGACGAAGAGCGTGGTCACAAATTTCCCTGGCTTGAAAATATCCACCACCTTCCTGACCAGATCATCATAGGAGGTCTGGGACAGGTTGGTTTCAAAGCTAACATAGGAGAACTCTGGCTCTGGAGTGATGTGGATCGTCCAGTAAGTTCCCTGTTGAGAATCCCCAAAATGGGACATTTTCAGATTGCTGACTTACATCACACTTCAAAACTGACAGTCTGGAAAAAAAAAAAAACTGGAATCTGAGGAATGGGGCGTGGCTAACTTACGTCAGTCTTCATTCCATTCATTGAGTAGCCACAAGGGTTGAACATTGTGGCATCAATCACAGAACCTGGAATCAGGTCACGGATTCCACTCATCTGGGGGGGAAAGAATGAAATTTTTTTTGGCAAACTGGCAGAATTCAGTTTCCTTCATATCTGGAGGACACTAACAGTTTAATTTGGCAGCCAGTATTGCAACAAATTCATAAAATTAAGGTTGTTTAAAGGAATAGTTCCCCTCAAAACAATTTTGGAGTTAGAGGAAGAAGTTGACCTCGCTACATTGGCCAACCATAAAATGAGATGTACAGTCAGTGAATACCAACATTCAAAACTGCAGCGTGTTTCTCCCGCTGGAGATGTTTAGGGCCATTGCAGCGTTATTTGCCCTCGTTGGCCACTGTAGATAAATCATAAATTTTAAACTTCTTCCTTGAAGATGGACAAGGCTCCAAGCTAAGTGGCTACATTGGACATTTAGGCTAAAATACATGGTGAAAAGACGTCTTTTCGAGTCAAATTTGAATATCAGGGCTCAGGGACACTTGGAGAACGCCGCACGAGCAGTATGGAGGCATTTTGTGTTTTAATATTGTTTTTTACGCTTGAAAGAATGGTCACCAATGACTTCAATTGATTTTGATTTGTCTCCAAAAATGTTTTGAGGACAAAAAAAAATTCACGGACCCTTTGATTAGCCTTGGGGTGAGTAGATAAGTGAATTTTCATTTTTAGGTGAACTATTCCTTTAAGCCTTTACAACAACATCCACTTCTCTGCTGAACACTCAGCATCAATTAACGATTACCATTATAATTTCAGAACCGTACATGTCCAAGACCATGAAGGCAAAGCCACTTTTTAAAAGTGGCATCAATAATGAGCAAATCCTTGCACATCTTTTAACAGCCCTTCGCAACTTGATGCAAATAAATGAAGACCCATACACGAGTGACATCATTTGCAGAAACACCATCTTTCATGTAGAACTGGTCCATGACTACTGGGTCGAGGTCACTCATCAGAATTTCCAGCGTCTGATCTGCATGCTTGTTCTCCCACAACTCTGGTAGATCCAGAGTAAACAGGTACCTGATGGTGAAAAAAGAAGACCGTGAGCACCCTGCATACAGTGGGTCTGAACAGCCTACTCAGTACTTTTGACCTGTTAACCCCTTTGCGCAGAATACAAATAATGCCAATTTTTTCCTGTTAAGCATGAGCCTATTTAGGCTTTATAACTCAGTATTTGTGTCACAGAGACTGGAAAATTATTCCAGTAAAGAAAGACATTTGGAAATTCAATTACAAAAAATTATATATGACTTAAATTTCGGAATTTAAGGACGCCAGCGTCTATATCTGCGCAAAGGGGTTTTAAACCAACTTTCCCCTTAAGTTTCCCCTTAAGTAGGTTCAAAATCAGAAAACCTTTTTTTCATATTGTAGGACAATATTACACACATATTCTGTATCTGCTGGTTGGATCGCTTTGTTGAAGCTACACACTTATACACAGAAATTTTCAAACCCAGGACAGCACATTTTTATGGCCACAGCAGCACATCAAATGGAAAACATCTAGATCTTGTACATCATTTTACACACATTTCCCTGTAATTCAGCAGGACATGTTTGGAATTGTTGGAAAGCTTGGGATCTCCAATAGAATTTAAAATAGGCCTGAAGTTCCTCAGGTTTGAATACAGCAGCTGCATTTGACGGATCCATACATGGGTCCATAGGCTTTATGGGGTTAAAATAATCAGCAGGTTAGCTGCATTTAAGTGGAACAGCTGTGAACAGGTTGTCGAGGTCACATCTTACCAGCAATCAGAATTCAAACGTCCCATGCAATAGGCTGCTCCATCTGGAAAAGACCAAAAAAAAAAAAAAAATTTTTTTTTTTTTTTTTTTAAAAAGGCCAATGGGGTTTGTGAAAGAATCTGTGATGGTTGTACACTTAGCAGGTCCATAAAAAGTGCACAGGAGAGCAAGCATGACCATAGTGAGCTGAACAGCTGCTTTATGCCGTCACAGCAGGTAAAAAATGGGATGCTTACTTGGGAATATCTGGCTGAGAAATTCCACTTCTTCCTGAAAGTTCCGGTGAGGGAACTCTTGATGGGCGGGCTTCATGAAGTTCTTGCGGGAATAAAAGAAATTCTGCGGGGATGGAAAGAAAATATGTCAGAGGAATTTAACTTCCGAACTGCATTTTGTTCAAATGAAGATGAGGGGATGTAAATCTTTCTGTGGTTTAACAAAGACAAAACCAGACAAATGGTTTTCAAGACCATTTGTTTAGCAGTGGTGCTAAATTATGTGAAAGTGAGATTAAGCTGCTAATATAATTTCTGCCATGATGTGCGCACCCATTCATGATACAGTATAGTATGCCCGTTAGATCAGGTCATTTGGACGTAATGCTGTGCAAACATCTGAGGCAATTTCATGGCAACATCTTGACAAAAAAAGAAAATGAAAAGTAAAAACAAAAACTAAAATACAAATCTGGTTAAAATGGGCAAAACCTGCAAACAGAAGAATGACTAAAAAAAAAAAAAAAAAAAACACTTATGGAATGTGTTAAAAATGTACCAGAGATGAATACTCAAAAACTATTTTAAGAGACACCTTTTCAAAAATATCCATCGAGGAATGTTCTAAATATACCTGCAGCCAAGTGGCATTCAAGGCAGGACGAGGAGGGTCATCGTACCTCAATGGTGTCAAAGCCGCAGTACTCCCTGGCCAGCTCCAACAGAGGCACCAGTGCTTGTAGTAAGAGGGTGGTTCCGCATGTCTTCAAAATGAAACGTCTCTTGGAGACAAACATGCTACTCTCACTGCCGGGGGGGGAAGACGGGGCAAAGGTAGAGAAGTAAATGAGCAAACCCACCAGAATGCAACTGTTACGCATGACTCAGTCATGATGCAAGAATCTGAAATCCTCAAGATGTCCACACATCATCCTCCCATTCGCAACTCTGATGCAACTATGTCGCGGTTACTTGAAAACCGTAAAGCATGATAATATCATTCACACTGGAATATCAAAAAAGATGAACAACAGGTTACAAAAGCAAAAACGGTTAATGTTTTCCATTTAATCAGGAATGGGAAAGCAAGGAAGTTCCTGGATTTCATACATGTCCATTCATTACTTATCCCAATCACTTATACAATGCAACATTTCAGCTTAAATTCAGTGACATGAATTATATGACTGTTTTTAATCCGACATTGTGGTCCATTCTAGGAATGAATCAGAACTAGCGTACACCTGGTGGATTTATCCGGGTCAAGAGGTGGTGAAAGATACTGGCATACACCAGCTTTCCGGGACTGGAGATCCCGATTCACGTTTAACCAAAAGCTTAGGGCTGGGCGATATGTATCGCGATCATTTTTAAGCGCAATAAAAGTAACTTCCTCTATGGGGCAGACAGACGAGCTTGATTATTACCTATTCTATGCCACATACCTTTAATTTAGTGTTGAACTAACATCAGAGGCCATTTGAAATTCTTCTGGGAAGAAAAGTGCGATTTGAAGTCTGCTAATTACCAGCGAGGTCGGACAGCCTCCATCACCTTGGCATAATTAGCTTACCTTGAATCAATTCTTGTGTACTTTGCCTAACTTGCAATCAAGCCATTTATTCAGCCAACTGACCAATCAAAACCAAAATGTGGCCTATAATGATTAACAGGAGATAATGAGAAGCAGATCGACCTAACCAGGCTGCCGTGTTAGATTGAAAGAATGTCAGTAATCTGAATAAATAGCAGACCTCTGAATTCCACCTCTCATCGTGAAACTTTTTTTTTTTTTTTTTTTTTTTTTTTTGGCATCTCCAATCCCACCCGAATCTGGAATGCCCAATTGGTGAACTATGTACAAGGCTTGCTCATATGCGACCCCCTGCTGCCAATTCAGGAGAGTGTAGACAGTTCACGGCTCTCCTCCGAAGCACGTGCCTGTCAGCCTGCTGCTTCTTATACACTCATTGGTTGAATCTTCGCAAGTTCAGAACGAGGGTGGAGGATACCCGGACATGAACAGGCTTAGAATCTTCCTGACGAGCGCCTGTCTGGCCAACAGGAGGCGCTTGAGCAACAAACAAGGCAACTACTATTTTCCCTTCCCAGCAGTCCCTTCCCAGTTTGCAACCCTGTAGCGCAATAGCCAATTGTGCGCTACTCTGAAAAAGCTGCCGACCACTGCCGGCTGGTACGAGGCGGGGATCGAACCCGCGACAAGTCACTTCTGCTTCCCAACGCGATGCTTTACCAAGTGAGCTATCCGGCAGCTCACATCGTGAAACTTTAATGTATTATTCGAAAAGATTTCTTAAAAATAAAATCATGTTAAGATGGCCCTGATTTTTAAGTGTTTAAAAATAGGAAGAGGCTATTCGCCCGCCGGCGGTTCAGCGTGAAAGATCAAAGAGCGGGGCGGATTATTAAATTAAATCTCTGTTATTGGCCCAACTCGGGGGGGGTTAGGGATAGCAGAAGTGCTTCTTTTATCCATCCCACCGCGGTGCGAATAGCAGAACTGCTTCTCTTGTCGGCCCCGTTGCGGGGCAGATAGCCGATCTTTCTCCCAATTCACCCCGCTGCAGGGCGAATAGCCACTTCCTTAAAAATATATGCGAAGTGGAAAACATTGCGTGAAGCATATCGAACGTGAATGTGTGAGAGAAATTATTTTCGCATAGCAAGCAATGGACAAATGCACCGAAGACTTGGCAAGCACGTTCAGGAAAATCTGCGCCACAAATTTTTTAGCATTTTTTATTTAATAATTGAGCAAGATTCATTTGAAGTAAAGTACTTCATAGCTCTTGATTTTAGTTACTTTTGAGCATCTAAATAGCCTACAGTGAAGGTGGAAAACATTTTGTTTAAGCATATCGAATGTGACATGTAAATTGTTATCGCATTTGCACACAATGGCCAAATATAGTAATCCAGCAAACACATTCAGGCAAATTGCGTGCTGAACCAAGCAATGTTAAGGTCTTCAAAATCATCATCCTCTACTCGACAATTGCTTTCACCCCCTTCCCATTTACTTTGCTCAATTTGCAATCAAACAGTTGATTCGCTCAATTAACAATTTAAATTGGTTGGCAGTCGAATTTATTTCGATATCATTTTTGTCACATTTTGAAATTTAAATGGCCATGAAACATGACAGAGTTGCCTGAATGCGCTTGGTACATTATTTCTAGTTTCACATTTGGCCTCTGTGTGCGAATGCGTTTACAGTTTACATGTCACGTTCGATACGCTTTAACAAAATGTTTTCCACCTTCGCTGTAGGCAATTTAGACGCTCAAAAGTAACCAGAATCAAGAGCTATGAATTACTTCATTTCAAATTAGTCCTGTTCAATTATTAATTCAGCGCATTTGTCTATTGCGTGCAATGCAAAAATAATTTCTCACATTCACGTTCGACATGCTTCACAAAAAGTTTTCCACGTCGCGTATATTTTTAAGGCAGTTGCCACGGGTACGGCAGTTTTCCAATGCATTTCAATGTAGAGAGGTACGGCAGTCCCAATTTCAAACCCTGCCCTAACCTAATCCTGACCCCTAACCATAATCCCTATCCTAATCCCTTGAAGTCGACTGCCATACCAATAAGAACAGGCTTATCTCTAGACACTGCGTATTTTTAAACTCTTTAAAACCAGGGCCATCTTAATTGATTTTATTTTTCAAAAATCTTTTTAACAGTACGTAAAAATGCAACAATGAGAGGTGAATTCAGAGGTCTGCTATTTATTCAGATTATTGACATTCTGTCAGTCTAACACCGTATCTTTGTTAGGTCTGCCTGCTTCTCATCATCTCTTCTTAATCATTACTGGCCACATCTTGGTTTTGATTAGTCAGCTGGCTGAATAAACAGCTTGATTGCAAGTTAGGCAAAGTACACGGGAATTGATTTAAGGTAAGCTTATTATGCCAAGGTGAAGGAAGCTGCCCAACCTCACTGGTAATTAGCAGACTTCAAATCGCACTTTTCTTCCCGGAAACATTTCAAATGATCTGATGATTGCTCCACGCGGCATTAGGTATAGAAAAGGTAATAAGCAGCCTCGCCTGTCAGCACCATAGTGGCAGTTACTTATATTGAGCTTAAAAATATCGCGATACATATAATGCCAAGCCCAACGAAAGCTGTTTTAATTTTAAGAATGACAGAGGAGATAAACAAAAAGGGCATGAAACTGAGTTTGTCTGATGACTAATGGCGAAATATTTTGGAAATGAGCGCACAGACAATGCACTTATGTCAGGGGTCATGGTTAATGTCAATGCCACAGTAATTTAGTCAGTTCAGGAAATCAGGCGAAATTCTGAAGAATTATAAAAATCAACTTTAAAAATTGTTTCAGACTGTAGATAAATAATCTCACGCTAACTGTACAGGAAATAGAATCGGCATAAATCCTGAACCAGATGCTTCAAAACCATGCCCAAGAGAAATGACATGCATTTTCTGGAATGTTATCTTTGACTGACTTCAAGTTTTGATTTTATCTGAAACGTCAACAGATCAACATGGTTTCACAGCCAGAGCAGGAACAAGTCATGGCCAGATCATCCAAGGTACATTACCCCCCGCAGCAGTCAGATAGCCTGATGCATACGGATGACTCATTTGAGCTATACAGAGGGGCGAGCCAAGGATTCCAGATATCCTTCTCTAGAGCCACACCCGCTCGACTAATCAGCAAATCTGCCTTCAACCAATCCTATAAATGAATCAATATTTTAAGAGTGGGCATGAGGTCATAGGCTGCAACTTGATGCCATTTCGATGTAAGCCAGTGCTTTAGCAGGCAGTTATAAGCAGGCCACCAGTGAACTGGTCTTTCCTGTCTGATAAAGAGTGAGGTGACCTACTCTAATCATTATACGGCCAGACTTCCTATTTGCCTAAGCCCATAGAAACCGCCGTCGCCAAGAGGATTACAGTCACGTCAAATCTACGCCCTCTAATCAGCTAAAAAAAGGGAAAGTGGTGAGCAGTTTCATTTAGAGGCCTAGAAGCACAGGAACACTCACCTGAGTATATAAGCTTCCTGCTTGTCAGTTTTTGTCACACTAATGATCAAACAATGCACATTCTCCAAAAGTTTGTCCCACTCAAACCTGAAAAACAAGAGGAGAAGCTCAGGTTATTCATCAAGTCGCCCAATTATTCAGTTTTATGCGAGATTTATGAAGAGAATACGGCAGGTGGATTAGCAGTAAACACATTTCAGACAAGTAATAATCACATTACAAAGCATTCAAAACACTGGCAAAATGGTAACTTGACCCACTGCAAAGCATTCATACTTCAATGACTACTAAAAGACTAAATTGAACAATGAAGCCTTTGTACGCATTTGGATTCCTTAATATCTCCAAACTTTACAGCCCCTAACGCAGACATTAAACATGACAAGGAATGGAGCACAGGCGCTGCAGATTCCAGGAAAACATGGCCGAGGAACGTCATACATAAGTATTCCATCCCGCTTTCAAGGTTCAAAATACACGCTGTCACTTCTTGAAATATCCCAGAGACTTCGATAAAAAGCGCGTTCAACGGAAAGAAATTCAAATTTAAAAGAAAACTACTTAAACATTAGCTTTCGTGAATCCATTTCAGAACGATGATAACTGGACACTGTCAGATGTCTAACGAGATTTTCATTTGGGATGCATTTATTAGACTAGATCGGAAACCAGGCTACCAGAAAAATGTCTTGCGCTCACAGATTATTCACCCGCATTACAAATTGCCTGTGTGATGGTAGAAAACAGAACAATATACTTTGACGTTGCTGCAACAAAGTTATTTCAGCAGACAGGGTTCAAGATGCTTGGAAAATTCCTCACGCTTTTGTTTAGTAGCTATATCCCACTGCAATCGCTCCCCCCAAGGACTACTTTTGTGTTGGGGAAGGAAATGGCACAGCCTAATTCCCAAATTGAACAACATTCCCCTCAATTGCCAGCATGAAACGCAGCCCATTCCATCGCTGTGGACTGCAAACCACACCAGTCACAGCACTCAGCCGGGGAAAGGCCAAGCACACTGGACGGACAGGCAGCAGATTTTGAACAGAATTTCAAAACGAGTTATGGCTGATGGCAGTACCACTGGTTAGTAAATCTTCGCAGTTGCGTCTTTTTCCTAGAATAGCCGTCCCTCCACTCATGTCTGGCCTCATTTTACATGAGAACGATTCAGAGGTCCATTGTGGCCAATGTGAAAGCACAAAACTAGCTGGGGGGGGTGAAGCCTCACGAGGCCAAAAAAAAAAAAAAAAAAAAAAAAAAAAAATCACACTAGGTTTCCCAGCCTGGCACTTTGACGGCACTGCAGGGCAGCCAGTTCCCAGAGGCACAAAAAGACACCGCAGTGGTGCCTTTACCTCGAAAGAAGCAGCAATTAGTACCAAGCCTTCGGCAAGGACAGAACAAAAAGCCAAGAAAATGGACCCAATAGCAAATCCCTGAATAATACATGCACTCCTCGCAGCACGACCAAACTGAAGCACACTGGTGCAGAAAACCAAGAACTGTCTGCGCAAACAGCAGCAGGCTTTTCACTTGGTAACCCCCCCCCCACACACACACCACACGCACCTAGGGCTAACCACATGTTCCAACACTGCACCAAGCAGTGCTGCGAGGCTGGCCTTCGACCCCTGTCGCCTGTCAACTGAGGACAAACTAGGGTCAGCTCTACCCCTCCCCCTACGAAGAAACTGAAACCAGTGCTATTTCTGGGGTCCAGGTGACGCCAATCCAAGCATGCATTCTGAACGTGCTTCAAAAGCGAGGGAGCAGCTGTGCTGATGCAAGGTGTAATTCCTGCCAGCTTAGTTCGTTTTTCGGAACATTCAGACAACGTCATACCCAGTGATTTTATCCCAATCATGTTGTCTGATTCAGCAAAGTGGCAACGAACAGCTAATTTGCAATGTTTGACGTCACAGAAGGTTTTTACAGTCACACACGGAAGCAAACAAGGCTATAATTCAGCGTTTCCCACAGAGCTTTAGTCAAGGAGCTGTGCCAACATGGGAAAAGGGTATGTATGCCACTAATCCCTGTAATCTTTTTATAAAATAACCCTTCATGAAACCTAAATATTCTGAAAATGTACCAATGCAGGCGGCATTATTAAAAATGAAACCGTCCAAATTATTTTAAATGGATTCAAATTCAATCGGCTGAAAAATACGTGCAGTACTTCTCTCAACTTGCTTTTTAAGTGGTGGCAGAACGTAAG